CCCGCCCCCTGCCAAGCTACTCATCCTCTCAAGCAGCACAACCTGGACCATGTGGGTGGAGCTGGAGGGACTTAAGTTGGAGGTCACTGCGCATGTCAGGAGCAGAGTTCAGCCAAGGGTCAGGCTGCCCCCAAATTCCAGTTTCATCCCAACATGGCCGGGCCCGGGAGAACGGTGCCTACCGCCGGGGTGGAGGCTCCCACGCCGCCATTGTCCTACACCTCCCACGGTGCCCACCCCCAGTAGGCTCCTCAGAGAGGGGCCAGGGGCTGGACTCAGGCCTCCTACCCATGCCCATGGGGCATAGAGTCGCCAGAGAAGAAGCTTCCTGATTCATACCGAACCCGACCTCCCAGGAAGTGCCCCTAATTTGGGGCTCCCATGTTAAGTCTGGATCTGGGTGGGGGGGAGATCAGAGCTGTTGGGGGCTTGGTTGCCCCATTTGGCCTCTCCTCTCTGCCCTCCCCTTCCAGCTGCCCCAGAGCACATCAACTATGTGCCCCAGCTCTCAAACGACACCCTGGCGGGGAGGCTCACCCAGTCCACCTTCACGCTGGAGCAGCCTCTGGGCCAGTTCCACAGCCACAACATCTCTGACTCGGATACCATCTGGCTGGTGGTGGCCCTCAGCAATGGTGGGTGCTGCTGGGGCCGGGCCTCGGTTTTCCCTCTGTGAAATGGGCCTGCGGGCCTGAGGGCAGTAGCGGGTGTGTTGGGGGGAGATGCAGGGAGCAGGTGCTGCAGGGGATGGGACCGGGGAGGGCTGTCAGGCCTGGTGGGGTGAGGGTGGAATCCTGCTATGTGACTGTCTAACCACAGTGCCACCCTTAGCCACCCAGAGCTTCACGGCCCCACGGTCAAACCAGGACGTCCCGGCTCCTGCCAACTTCTCCCAGAGGGGCTACTATCTCACACTGAGGGCCAACCGGGGGCTGTACCCGGGTGGCCAGGCCAGAGGCCAGCTCCGTGTCCTCCGCGTCGGCAATGATACCCACTGCCAACCAACAAAAATTGGCTGCAACCATCCCCTCCCGGGACCCGGCCCCTACAGGTGAGTGGTTCTGCCAGGCCCTGGCTCCTGCCTGCACCCAAGCCAGAGCCTGGGGCAGCTCCTAGGATGCTCACCAGGGCCCCAGCAGGATGCCTGGGTCCCCTGCTCCTGCTTGGCCAAAGGGAAGAGGAAGCAGCAGACAGGAGTTGGAGAGGCCTTCATGAATTACATGAATTATCCTTTTCTTTTCTTCTTCTTCTTCTATTTTTTTTTTTTTTTTTTTTTTTTTTTTGAGATAGACTCTTGCTCTGTGACCCAGGCTGGAGTACAGTGGTATGATCTCGGCTCACTGCAACCTC